ACATACACCAGTGGACATGTGCTGACCCTACTCGTAAATGCATCGATAGAAGACGTCATTGTGATGGATTTTATGATTGCCCCGATAATTCTGATGAGCGCTACTGCAACTGCACATGTGATGAGTCTTTTAACTTCAGGTGTAATGATGGTGCCTGCCTTGATAGTAGCGTTCGTTGTGATTTAAAATATGACTGTTCTGATGGTTCAGATGAATTGTCATGTTATTGTGACCTGAACACTCAGTTTACCTGTGGAGATGGGACATGCATAGACCGCAATAGAATTTGTGATGGTTATATTGACTGTCGAGATGCAAGTGATGAGACTTTAGAATGTCATCCTGTTTGTGATCCTATCAATATGCACCAGTGTGGAGATGGAACATGTGTAGACATTCGTCGAGTATGTGATGGTCAGTTTGACTGTAGAGATTATAGTGATGAACCATCCAGCTGCTCACCTGTTTGTAACCTGCAGTATGAATTTACTTGTGGAAATAATGACTGCATAGATGCAAAACTGGTTTGCAATGGTTACAATGATTGTAGAGATGGCACTGATGAATATTATTGCTCACAATGTAATAACGGCGAGTTCCAGTGTGACGATGGTTCCTGCATTAGCCGCCAGCAGCTTTGTGATGGTACACCTGATTGTAGAGATCAAAGTGATGAGAGTGAACGTGGTGGCTGTTGTGTTCCACCATACTTTTTCCAGTGTTTCGATGGCTCGTGCATTGATGTACGTCAAGTCTGCAACAGATATCCTGATTGCAGGGATGGCTCTGATGAGTATGATTGCTGTAAGTTTATGATTTTCTCAATGCAATAAAATATTGTTGTCATCAGGGATATATGAAAAAATAAGGGATTTGTTGTTGCAATGAAGGGATGTATATTACTTTTTATAAGGGAAATCTGGCATGGTAAATGCTTGATAAACTTTAAATTTAGGAACTCAAAAAAGTCATCTAATCAAATTGACAATAGTTAGTGGAATTAAGAGCATAGTTTTTCTATTATTTGTTTAATTTACTTATGGAATAAATAATCATCAAGTGACTGTAATACATGTACTGTATTGTGTATTTAGTAAGTATGCAATTAGGATAAAAAATAAGGTTATACGGCCTATGTATGTGTTGTCCATTGCTAGTACCGTAATTTTCTTGTACACTTGCTTCAAAAGTGATTATCACTCGTTCATTTCCTTCCTTGTGTTGTAATGGGCATAGCTTTTGCAAGCCATACTATCCCCGTAACCCCCAGCCCACCCCTCATCCCTCAGCACAAATCCCTTGAGCCTAGGATATCCTCCAATATCCAACATCTTCTTCTTTGACACTCGGCACCTCCAATACGACCCTAAGCCAAAAATGTTTAGGTTAGTAATGATATATATGCTTCCTGCCTTTCTTTCACCAAGAAAATACTAGATGACATAGACATTACAGTAGAGCGTTGATATAAGGCGAGATACGTTCCAAGAGAGGTCGCTTTAATCGAATTTGCACTAAGTGGAAGTGTTGTTTCAATGGAATAATTTAGTTTGGCACTTGAGAGAAACAAAAAATACTAAAAAGGCTGAGAGTCTACCCAGATGCACCTCAGTCCATCTCCTAGAATAAACAAAACACTGTTTTTTGTAGTATTATGTTAAAAGAAACACTCGTAAATCAACACAGCTAAAATTAAGGGATGCAAAATGATCTGTTTACTGGCTGGGAAGATGGGGGGAGGGAGGGAGGTGAGGTGATATGCTTAACAGTTGATACCAAGGTCTAGTGCTTATTTATTTATCTGTCCTTAAGAGTGACTTTAAGTTTTTCTCTTATAAAATGTCAATAAACTGACCTGGGAGAATATAATTAACATTGCTGGAATTCTTATAAGAGAGTGATTAGTTTAAATATAAACATGCTATAGTTCACATTACAGTATACATAGAAATTTTAGCTCTAACTAATTTTATTAAAGGGATAAAAATTTGATGTCGTGCAAAATATATGACGTTTATATTCAAATAATTCGCTGTCTTGCAAGAATTCTAGCAATGCAAATTATATTCTCCTAACTTTAGTCTGTAATATTATACAAGATAAAAACTTAAAGCCTACTGTATAACCACCAAACACTGGCTGGGAGGAGGGGGGAGGGAGGGAGGGGTGACAGTGACATGTTTGACAGTTGGGCCAAAGGTCTAGTGAAGTATTTATTTGTTTATTTATGTCCTTTAGATTGAGGTTTTGTTTTTTGTTTATAAAATGTTACAGAAGTGACCGGGGAGAATATAATTTACATTGCTGGAATTCTTTTAAGATAGTGATTAATTTTGAATATAATCATGCTATAGTTTGCACTAGACAAAAATTTTAGTAATCATTTAGTACATTATTTTGAGTACATGTATAGTACAGCTTTGTCCTTAGGACAGTGTAGTGTGCCCAGAGAAACATTAGGTGCGAATTTTAAAATATGATACGCAAGCTTGACTCGTGCAAAATAGGAAATATTCACTTTAAATTAAAACATTGTCCTTAATTGTGGGTGTCGCTTTAAATCAATCATCTTAAATTGAATCGCTTTAAATCGACGTTCTACTGTACTTGTTTAATTTGTCTGGTACAGAAACCATGTACTGTATCTGCTTTCATTGAGAAGAGGGAGTGATGAGCACTGGTAAAGATTCCATGCATACCTCTTCTCATAGAGAGGAAGGGGCACTGGACAGGGGCATAATTTAACTGAGCATTGTTTAGACTTATGTACTGAAAGATATAAACTTTTTTTGTCCTCATTGTTTGTCCATGTACAAATGTCAGTCCATGCCACTTACAAGCCACACAGACTGGCAGCCTCACTGGGTCCATCCCTCCCCCACCTCCTGAAACACTCAAACCAGGTAATTAATTGGTCAGCCAAGGTGTAAAGTAAACGCTTACCCCCGAACATATTATCATTGATAGGTCTTAGAAACAGAAAGTAAATATATTATTATTTGTTATTTATCCTTGCTAACATGTCTGGGGGTAAGCGTTGACTTACACCTTGGCTGACCACCCGTTGCTTGGTGTGTGTGTTTCAAGAGGTGGGGGAGGGATGTACCTACCTTAGTTGCCGGTTAGGAATTCCGAGGCCGCCAGTCTGTGTGGCTTATAAGTGGCATGGGCTGCATGTTCCTTTACTTCATTCTTCAGTAAAGAAAGTCTCTTATCTGTTATACCTTTTGTCTATGATACCTTATTATTTTTGTAATTTTGAGTACTTGGCCACCTCATAACTTTTTTCTTCATGTTTCCAGATATAATGAAATTTATTTTGGCGTTATGCCAAGTGGTTGTGAAAATAACAAAATTCAGGTAAAATGGGTATTTCAGCAAGGATAGAGCACCTTGCATTGACTATTAAACTTTACAGTATTGCAATTGTTCAATGAGGACACTATTGTAACTGTGCCACAATAGCATGTGTGTTCATGCATTATGGTGAAACCTATTAAAAAATCCTCTGAAAATAAGGGCCAGAAGCCAAGTCGATTCTCACATTATTTTGCATGACTCATGGAAAGGCAGCTAATGTGCCATGTTTTACATAGTGCTGCCAGCTACTGTGACTGCCTCATTTACCTACAACTCGGTAAAGTTTTCTAACATAAAGTGTCGTATAATATGTAGGATATTTATTAATCTATAGAGAGATAAATAGATTTTGTTTGAAATCTGTATTTACAGATCAGTACAGGTCCAGATCAATACTGATGACAGTAATTAAAAATTATTTTAGGTCTAAATCAATGCACCATTCTCTCAGTATTTTCAGGGGTTAACCATAAATAAAGAGACTGAGAGCTTATGGGGAAATGTGGTTAGCTTCCAGGACCCTTGGGAACCACACCCAACACTATCTGCTTTCAACCATAACTTGTGAATGCACTTATATAAATAAGAAGGAGCACTTCACACAGTGATTACAGTTGAATCTCTAGTGAGGCATTCTATAGTCCTGCATTCCTGATCTGGACAATTTTAGAAATACTGTACCAGTTCCACCATCTGTTGTCCAGAAAACTTTAGTAATGCTGATTCACCTCGTATGGTCCAATAAGTTAGTTCAATTCAGTTCTTGTCGTAGTGGCAGTGTGAGCACCATCTCCTACCTCAATTGATTACCTTTATTTTTTTCAAGCTTATTTTAATGGCACACTTATTAAGTATATTGAGGGTTTTGTTTATTTGATGGAAAGGATGTGTCTATACTCACTATTGTACTTGTTTTTTGCCCTAATTATGTTGATGCCATATGTGAAGAAACATGCTATTCTGATTATTGGGCAAAAAATGCACTGAGGAGCACGTCCATATTTGGAAATATAAGGTCAGAGACAGGTTCAAGCTATTACGGAGGTTTTTGCATGTTGCATTTATAGATTATTAATAGTGTTATAATTAATAACAAGCCCAAGAAAAACAAAACAGAACCTCCAAACTCTAGCTATTTATTTAGCTCACTGTCAGAAGAGGTAACCTGGGCACTCCAGCCTGCACCCTGTCTAGTGACTCTCTGCTCCACCACATCAACATAATGATACTTCAACTATTTTTTTTGGCTCTTCATCAGTACTATAATTTATCAGTTAAAAAACACAAAACTAGTGTTTGAAGATGTTATCTTTTGCAGGCTGTGGGGATAGAATATTATTTTTTTTAATTGAGCTGTAAGTGTCAAAGTTTTTGTCTACTAGTAAGGCAATGCTTTAAGTTTGAGTTAATATAATGTCAGTATGAATACTTTAATATTTTAACCCTTTACAATGAAACTGCATTTACAATTTTATTATAATTTCATGTTGAATTTTAGAACTTTCTTTTTGTGTACATCTGAAATTATATTAATTTTACAACTATTGTTTGGTATCTTTTCTGGCTGGTGGTTATTTTCCTTGTGATGATGATGATGATGCTGTGACGATCATGTTCCCAATGATGTTGATACTGACCAGCGAGTGAATGTGATCCAACTGGTAGCTACTCTAGGGAACCAGATGCCAATACTGGACGCTGCCAGTGCAAGGTAAGAATTACTTTTTATTTATTTGAATTTAAAAAAAAAAAAAATTAAACCCATAGTAAAAAATTCAATAATTGATAAGTACAATTTATATATTTTATGTAAAGTGTTTGTAGATATTTATAATAAGAGATAAAACTTTTTAAATGTAGTTGCATCCATACTCTCTGGAGAATCCACACAGTGTGGGGAGCCAGTTCAATCTTTTGTCAGGTGGCAAATCAGTACAGTAAACCCTTGCCATTCGTGAGTGATAGGTTCCAAGAAATGGCGCAAATTGTCAAAACTGCAAATAGCCAGTTATATAATACCTTAGTGCACTAATATACAGGTATACCTACGGTATACTGTGTATAAGAAACTTAAATCACAATACTGTACTGTACTTACATTCGTATGTGGAAGTCTGGAGCTTTCTCAGTTTTCACTATGTTCTTGTCACAAACAACCTGCACCACTTTAGCACTTGCAGGAGCACTTGCTTGAACAGAATCATGTATTGCTTGTTCATTCTTTCTTATGTGCTGCACTGTGGATTCGTTCACATCAAACAACCGACCAACTGTGGTAGCACCCATCCCCTTCTTTAACTTCTCTAATAATTCAACTTTCTTTGCCAGAGTCATCACTGTCTTTTTTCTTTTATGTTTCGCTCCACTAGCATCACTAGCACTGACACTGACACTTGGCAGTCTTTTAGGGGCCATTTTCTCAAAGAAACACAAAAGTTTTGAGAGTATGACACAAAGATGCTTGGTCATGGGTACTGGGTGAGGACAAACAGACCAAGATGAGACGCTGCGAGTGCGTGGGGTGACTCGTTGCGCTGAAGAAGGAGACTCGTAGTGAACATTTTTTTTTTATTAATATTTTACATTGATTTCCCTGTGTAGATTACAGGTCCGTTATATGAAATTATAAGGATAAAGGAAATTTTATGTAGCTATGCATGATTGTTCTACCCCCCCGTCCTTCATTTAGAGGGCCCTCCTGTTTATGTAGCAAAAGCTGTACAAAGGTATTTATAATAATATTTTGGTGTAAAGTAATACCAATCACTTGGTATTAATCAGTAGCTGGCACCTTTCTCAATTAGCTAGCAGCAGGGCGAGAGTCTTGAACCTCAGTTACCCATGAAAGAAGCAATAGTGAGGTTAGACGTGTGTTGCTCTCACACCACCATTATCGGCCCGTATCTCTACTAAGTACAGTAGAAGTCCAAAAATCCGGACTGCTTGGGGATTGGGTCGGTCTGGATTTTCGGATTTTCCGGATTCTCAGGCAGTACTTTTAAAATTCAAATTTCAGGAGAAATAAAGAAGAGATGAACAGGTACATTTTGATAGTTTATTCATTAGCAAATATAGCTTGCTTCATTTATCAAAACAAGCAGTTTTAAAGATAAAGCTGTGAATTCTAAAATTTTATTCTTTGCCTTTTTTATATCATAAATTGTAGACTTTCCAATGTCGTTTGTTTCCATTAGAACAGTATTGCTCACACCACGTTCTAGTTTCTTAATTATTTCAAGTTTGTCACTCAATTTCAACGTCTTCATTTTTCTCTTTACACAACGAAGTTTATCTTCTTTAGGAGCCATTATTATGGGCTTGTACAGTACTCTGTAAATGGAAAGAGTAGGACTCAAAATTACATACGTTATCACAGTTTGATTGCTCGTTTTAAAGTGGTGACCTCGTGGTCGCTTGTTGTCGTTGTGCAGCTGTGGCGCTCACGCATGCACACATACACACAAAAGCCAGGTAAAAAAAAAAATAGAGTTTGAGTTTTCGAAAAGTCCGGATTCTCGGGTGGTCCGGATTTCTGGCATCCGGATTTTTGGACTTTTACTCTAGTAGAATAACATATTGTACATGGCTGAACATATAGATTTTCTTTATATGTGATTTGGTTTTTTATTTGCTGATTTATCTTTATAAATATTTTGATGAAAAAATGGTAAGTTAGGAAAAAAAAATCATGCACCCAAAACGAAAGTGATAATCAGAAATATCTATACTGTATGTCATGTTCAAGAGAAGTTATGTAGAAGTAGGATTTTGAAAATTGATAGGAATATAATGGAAAAATCAGGTATTAGGGGTTAGGTATAACCGATTCACGGGTATGGCAACAATGTATCTGGTTTTCTTAATTGTTGACATGAAATTGATATTGATTGATCAATAATTAACGAACTTTATGCTTCAGCCGGACTCTCCCCTTAACCCTTAGACATGGACTAGGACTAATACACGAGTTATTTATGCTTCCCCCTTCACAAACAAGTGCCAAACTGGGATCTTCAGAAGAAACACTTCACCATTTAAAGTAGGAAGCAAGAAATCCTAAACACCACATCAACTAGCACACAATTTGATCTCTGTTCAGCTAAGCTACAGTGGAATTATTAGGCATAAATATTTTTATTTCTAACCGATAATTGACTTCCATGCTTTCCAGTGGGAAGAGAAAGGGAATCTGAATCATCTAGCTTTGGCTCGGCTATAAATGGGATTTCAGGATCAGTCCTTTGTATGGTCAATGCACTTTACTAGGTAACACGTGAAATCCAAAAATAGCTATGAAATGAGAAGTGGTGGTTACAAATACGCCAAGCGATAACATGGCAGGCACTCCATTAGGGAAATTAGCCTGTATGTATTTTGTTTTATTGGGTTAAAAGAAGACAAACCATCATTAACACCCCTGCCATGATTCACACAACTCCATACTATTGTGCTGGATATCTTTATATAAAAGATACTTTTTGTCTGCCTATGTGTTTGTATATTCCTTATGGAATTCCAAAGTTTTGAAGATAGAGCTGAAAATTGGTTGGGAGTTGTGGCTGTCCTAGGGTATGGTCATGCACCATCTACTGTCTCTCCCTTTAGACTCGGTGTCCTCACAATATGTGAACTAAGAATGGAGCCAAAAAAACTCGGTTGCCAGTTAAAACGACTTTCTATATCGAAAGTGAACTTGAAGATCCATGTTTTTCAGTACAGGGCACCTCTGTCACATAATCTTTATAGAACATGATTTTCCCTCCCCGCAGCTCAACACCAAAGTCTATAGAACAGAGACCAAGATTATCTTCACATTAATATGAAACCTTCGCAAAACCATATTTGAAAAACTTATTGTGAAGTTTGCCTTTTGTTCTTATGCCACCTGTGTGTATTCTTTTGATCATGAAAGAGACAAAAACTCTTTATCCTTGTACCTGGTAGGTGAGAAGTAATTAAGACTCAAAACCATTACCTTAAAAAAATATCTAACTCTAGTACTGGGGCTCTAAATACTAATTTCTAAACCTCCTTACACTTCATTGATTGGACATCCGCCTCAATAACAAGAAATAATCTAGTGCGACTTGAGATGACAGAACATAAAACAAGGTTTCTATCTGTTTTTGCTGGAGAGATGACAATGTTACATTTTATACAATTTATTCTTATTGTTTAACACATAAGGAGAGGTTTTCACATCTCGAATTAGCTTTATGACATTCATTAATTTTATGGTAAAACTATGTACTATTGCTTTTATTTACTACTTTCTACACTCATATCTTTACTCAATGTAAAATCTTTTGTATCATATCATTACATCTCACTTAACTTACCTTAAAACTTCTTTTTATTTTCACCAAATCCAACATGGAACATTCATACTGGTGAGTAAAAGATAGACAACTAACAGTCACATAGTTAGGTGCACAGTCAAAGCCACACATTGTTAACTATGTAACTGATTTTTATTATCATCGCTTATCTATATTAAGTTTGAAATATCATTATGAAAAAATTTTTCATGATTCACAATCCAGAGTGCCATACTGTGTATGTGATCTTGTGCCTTATATAGAGAGAGCATCTTTATTATGTATGTCAATTGCATAATTTTATTAATTTCTTAATGTTGAATATAAACATCCTTAAGTTTGCTTAAGTATTTAATTACTGTACAATACTGTACTATATTTTTTGTAGATAACTTCTATTTTTTTTTTGTTAAATCATTCAATATTTTATTATTAGTATTATTTTTTTAGGGGAAAAGGAGACAAAACAATAAGAAATAAGATCTATATCATCGTGAATGATAAAGCCTGATATTATTGTATTCTTTTACAGAAATTTGTTACGGGACCTAAATGTGATCAATGCCAGCCAAATTCCTTCTACCTCAATGAGAATAATCGAGATGGCTGTATTGAGTGCTTCTGCATGGGCATAACACGAGAGTGTACTTCATCCAACTGGTACCGACAGCAGGTAAGGGATTGGCCAGTAGCTTCATTTATATGCTTAAATTTGTCAAAAACCTTCAAGTACATGTACAGTACAGTATTAAACATAATTGTGTTAGATTCTTTAAAGTAAATGCACTTAGTTATGTGTCAAATACTAATAAAATTTATATACTAATGATAAATCAGATACTTTAATATTTATCTGCTTAAAATATTTTCATATACTGTACATACTGTACATACAATATTATGTTTTAAAACATACCAACATTTCATCCTCCTGGAAAGTTAAGGTAAACAATTTCCAGTGAATGTGATGTTGATATGATCTTCCCAACAGTTACACCGATAATTTTCAGTTATTATTTATAATTATGTCTTTTTCATAGGAATCTGTTTCCTTCACCAATGATCGTCAAGGGTTTGAACTTGTAGACAAGTTTCAGCACAATACCATCAGCAATGATATATTTGTTGACTCAGATCGACAAGAATTGGTGTTCAGCGAGTTCTCTAGACTTGGTCAGGAGGTATGTACCGTAGGGATATCCGTGTTTTGTTTCTATAATACTAATGAAGCAGCTTATATAATTCAGGTTTTGGGGCCTTGTTGTGTAAGGCAAGTATCAGGGCAGTATCCATCTTTTACAGCTGTAAGAATTAAAAAAAATTTCAACCAATAAAGGAAAATGGTGGCCATGTATTTACTGTACTCTTGTGTTTAGCCATTCTAGGCCATGCTGGAAAAGGTTTAAAATGCTGTTGTATAAAATTAATCAGGCTATTTACTGATCATTGTGTATGCTCATTTTTTAGAATATAATTTATATTGATTACTGGATATCGAGTTTTTGTTAATTTACTTATGATACATTGATTTTATCTCAGAATCATAGGCCTAACATAGCCCATTGAATAATGCAGATTTTTTCTTTTAAAGGTTTACTATTGGAAGTTACCTCGCCGATTCCTTGGCAATAAGATATCATCCTATGGAGGCAACCTAACATACAGCTTACGTTACGTACCAGCTCCAGGAGGTCAAAGTTCAGCAAATAGTGCCTGTGCTGTTGAAATATTTGTAAGTCTTATTTTCAGATATTACATGATACTGTAAATTTAGAGAACACATTTTAAGAAAAATTAGTTGTAATGTCTTTTTTTTGGGGGGGGGGGGGATTCTGTAGTGCAAAAGATAATAAGATTATGGTTGAAGGCGAGGCACACTTCTAATATGCTGGGTTGTAACTGCATAGCAAAACACATATGCTCCAGTAAGTAAAAAAAATTCATGAAAGCAAATAAGGGAGAGAACAGGTTTTATATGCAACTTTTACCTGACACAGGAAAAGGGTAATGCTATTGATTACCTTAATCAAGTGTGATAGAATGAGGTACTCATTAATCAGTAAATTGATATGAAAAATATTTTCTTCATAAAATTTATATAGGACCAATTGAAATGACATACCATGTCTCAGGATGAAACATAAGTTTGCTATTCGTGTGATGTATTCTTTTATAATGGTTGTGTATTTTAGGCTCTTGTATTTTTATTATTTTTTCTGCTAAGGATTTAGGTAGAGGTTTAGTGTGTTCGAATGAAAGCCTTTCTCTGAAGTGGATTCGAACAAATGAAAATTGAGAAAGTTTATTGAACATCTGTGATGAGGGTTAGAATAAAACCTGGCACAGCCAATACAAATGAGATATAGATGACAGAAGAGTGGCTACTTGTATGAAAATTCTTGATAGAATATACCAGATATTGACAGACTTCAGTGTATAGTGCCATTATAATAAGTACAGTGGTCCCTCCATTAACGAGCACAATTGGTTCCACACAGTCACTCGTTAAATGAATCTATTATTTCAGTGGGATATTGGGTAATTGGTTCCAACTCACAGAAAAAGTACATACAAAGTACAGTACTGTATACCGGTAATAGAATTAACAAAACGTTAAATATGAGCAAAATACAGTCCCATACAGTATACTGTACAATAATAAATAAAAAACAATAAAATATTTAAAAAATTACTTTGAGGAGTGTTTGTAGAATGTTGCTGGTTGAGTTGAAAGGTGGAGGAGGAGGAGGAAGATGAAGGGAATTGGAAGTGGGGTTGGAGGTGGAGGAGAAGGGAGAAGTATATTTTAATGCTTCTTCAGACCCATGCTTGATAATTTCACCAATAAAATTTTAAATTCACAGCAAATTATTTAACTAATTCCAATTGTTTTTATTTAAGCTAACACTGCACTGTATATTATCAATATGTTAACTAAATTTCTGAATGACTAATAATTTTAATGAAAAAACGTAAAAATATTCAAGAGCAACACTTTCTTGATGTTTACTCCACTGGAAACAAATGTAAACAGAGAACCGATTATTGGCAGACGAGTCGATCAGCTGATGCACACACCAAAATGTGTTTCTCGTAAGACTGTCGTTAATAGAAGTTGTACTCGTTAGGTAACTCGTTAACTGAAATCTCGTAGATTGAACCGCTCATTAATGAAGGGTCCTCTGTTTTGTGAAAACTAATTCTAGTATTGAATATTGAACATTGAAAATATATTTACTATTTATTAATTAACAGTTAGTGCTGGTACTCTGAGGAGTGAAACTTGAAATATTAAACAAAAAGATTTAACCATGCACATGTGACAATTCAAATACATAGTGAATAAATTTGTAGAATTATGAAGCATATAAGTCACCCATGATTTTGTTAGCTAGTACAGTACTGTATAAGCAATAAGGTTTTTATTTTCTAGGGTAATGATATAACTCTGAAGCACTACAGCAAGAGAGAGTTGAGTGCTGCTAGACAAGAGACTGTGAGCGTTCCACTGAATGAGCTGGAGTGGGAACGACAAGATGGTCAGAAAGCTAATCGTGAGCATTTCTTAATGGTATTAGCAGACCTTGAATATATTCTCATCAAGGCTACATACACCACAAACTCTGAAGAAGTAGGGTAAGTTGGTCCAATAACCAATGATAATCTGTTTAAACAATAATTGCATAATCCATAATTCTTTCAGAATTAGTCATTCGACCATCCTCCACAAAAAAAAAACCGAGTGCTTCTGGGGTTAAATTTTTTTTTTTTTTAAATCAAACCCGCCTAAATATGTTTTGTAGGAAATTTACTTTCACCTTAATTGTGGAAATTAAACAAGGATTCATCCTTACACAATGACACTGTGTTTGAAGTAATTTTTATGTTGAATTCTCTTAGAGGGATATTATTCCCACAGAAGCATCACAGGGTGCTGATTTATGTAATTCGAATATCCTTTCAGTACTGCTCTCATCTTAGTGAGTAAATTCAAGCTCAGTTTTTTAAAGTGTATGGGACAACACAAGTTTTCAGCAACCCAATTCTAACATGTAGTATTAGTGTTGAGTGAAAGTGTTGTACTAGTGATGTAGTAAACAAGTTGTACAGGTTGGACCTCACTAATCCAGGAAGCTTGGGACCTGACCGGTTCCGGATTAGCGAAAATCCCGAACCATCCGAGCCGAGGCTAAAAAAGGCAAAATAATGCATAAAATGTACTACAGGTTGTACCTCTCTATTCCGGCATTCTGTGATCCGGAAACTCCCATGGTCCGGAACGATTTTAGTTTGTCAGATAGGTAGATAGGCAGCTTTTTTTTTTTTTTTTACTTATCTGAATTATTATTATTATTACAGGAGTATTAAATTTTGCTCTCTCTCTCTCTCTCTCTCTCTGCTTGTCTATACAGAGTACAACATTTAACCCTTCAATATATATGAGCAGTAAATAAGTGTTGCTTTCATATTCTTATGTAGAGTAATGACAATATCTTTTCACATGTGCGCACTTACATACGTGCAGTTTCACTACAGTGAACCCTCACTTTACGCGGTTAATTCAACCCACGGCGGCCCGCGTAAAGTGAGCAACATAACATATGGGATTAATTGAAATAGAGACCGGGCCGACCCCCAAACTCCACTTTTTCAGACACAATACCTACGTTGTAGTAAAAATAACTTCTTAATTTTATGATGGTATGCACACACAATTAATAATTAAGAGAAATATCAATAATATTAGGTTTTTTATCACTTACATTAGTAGAAAAGATGGCTGGGCACACGAGGATGGGCGGTTGGTTCCGAGGCAGAGGGCAGATTATTGGCACTCACCTATATCACTTGTATCACTATCCACCACAGATGCTTGCAGGGCCTCTTTGTCAAACCCCTCAAAGTCCATGTAACTCCATATCCTCACTATCATTATCACTATCACTGACTTGGGCCGGCTGTGGTGGGTGGCGGGTGAAGAACTCGGTAATGTTTTGATGACTGGGCCACCTTGTGCGCACCCTGCTCGCGCCGTTCTCCGCGAAAAAGGGTACAGTACACACACCGCGGAAAGTGAGCATTCCGGTTTCGGCAGAGTACCGCGTAAACGTTGAAACGCGTAAAGTGGGACCGCGTAAAGCGAGGGTTGACTGTATATTTTTTTACCATTAATGGTTAGCTACTTATATTGTTCCATTTATTAACATTAAATAATATTACAGGTACTTCAAACAACCATATTAATTTTTTTAAATTAATTTTACTACAGCTACAATCAGGGTCTTATTTTCTTCAGTTTTATATGTAGAACCAATCAGTCACTGGTTTTATAAGCTTTAACATAAACAATGCTGGCAGCCGTCTCGTCTCATCGTGTGTTTTAATATTCCACGTATTATTAATAAATTGTATTGTTAATTTTGCATACACAAACATTAATTCAATAAAAACAAATTCAGAAACATTAATTAAAATATATATGAACAGTAATTAAGTGTTGCTTTCATATTCTTATGTAAAGTAATGACAATATGTTTTCACGTGTGCGCACTTACATACGCAATCTCTCTTTTTTCTTTACCATTATCGTTAGCTACTTCTATTGTTCCATTTATTAACATTAAATAACATTACTTAAAACAACCATATTAATTTTACTACAGCTACAACCAAGGTCTTATTTTCTTCAGTTTTATATGTAGAACCAGTCAGTCACTGGTTTTGTAATCAACGAAAACAATGCTGTGTCATTTCCTCGTGTGTTTTAATATTCTACGTATTATTAATGAATTGTATTGCTCATTTTGCACACATAAACATTAATTCAATAAAAAAGACATTCAGTAATAAACAATAATGAATCTTTTGTACATAAGAGAAATGATGCTGTTTACACGATTATGCACGTCGTCTGCACGTTGGCGGGCTGTTCAAACCCGTCGAAATTCAAGTTTCCACCATCAAAATTTTTATTTATTTTTTTTTGTGTGTTCCAATAAAATATGTTGAATTAAAAACTCGCGAAATTTGAGAAGCTACTATACGACTTTTAACCCTTCAATATGTCTTCAAAGAGACCATGATGCAGAGAAAGTGGTGCTAGTGCTTCCAAGCATAAGCACAAGTCACTATCTATCCAGGAAAAGGGTGAATTTCCATGGTCCGGCACCTGTCAGGTCCCGAGGTTGCCGGACTAGAGAGGTACAACCTGTATTACTGTCTAATTTCTTCAGTACAGGCATCCCCGCGTTGTGGAACCCCGGGATGCGGAATTTTGCTCCTACGGATTTTTTAAATATGACCAATAATTTGAGGATACATTCTGTAAATCCGCCCTTACGGAAATTGGGATAAATTTTAACAATTAAAAAAAAATCACTTTATAAAATTAAACTCTTTTGTTAAAAATTATAATTTGTTTGGTGTGGATTTCTTGGTGTTTGCTACCGCCAAGTGTGGCGTCGCCACACGTAGTCAGTCCATTGTTTACATCCGGTGTGCGCGCATGTTTCTCGCCCCAGCAGTTGGATTTAAATTTTACAAACATACAGTAAGTACAGTAAAGTGCATTACCCTTATTCAAGATGACTGGAATGAGGCCATCAAGTGGAAATGACCGCAGTTGTGCAAACAGAAGCCGCAAAGGCATTACATTGGATATTAAACTTGATGTTTTAAGAAGGTATATCATAAATTATTCAATGTACTGTATTGTATGTGTTTATAAATGTTTATTTTCATTCATAAAAGTGCTTAAATTACCTTTTTTGAGCCGAAAAAAATTCCTTAGGAATGCATCTCCAGTTTTATAATGGAAGTCAATGGGAAAATAGGTTTCGCGTTTCGGAATTTCGCGATACGGTCAATTTTCCAGGGACACAACCCTTCCGTAACGTCGGGGATGCCTGTATAGACATCTTTTCTGAAACAGTTAATGTCACTTGCTTATGTTTCACTGTATTGCAACCACTTCCACTGCTTGCTGGTCTCTAAGGAGGCAAATTTAGGAGTAAATTATAAGCACTTAAAGGTAAAATAATGGCAAAAGCCTCATTTACACACAATTGCAGGTCTCAATTGTTTCTCTTAGTATTAACAACACAACATACATACTGTTTATTGTTTCCCACTTTTATCTTTTTTTCATTTTTATATTTATGGTTCTTTATTATTTTTAGTATTATTATTACAGAGTTATTATTATTATTTTCATTGTTTTTTATTTCTTATTATAAATTTTATTGACTTTGAATTATTATTATTATTATTATTATTATTATTATTATTATTATTATTATTATTATTATTATTATTGTTATTATTACATTTTTGCCCCCCAGGCCCCGGTGTGGGTCAGTGTGACCTGTGCCCGGGTGGGCTAATCCTCATTAAAAAAAAAAGTGACCTATGACACCTTCCCAAACCATCGAACCTACCAGACTATCAGGTCCCGGATTACCTGGTTCCAACCTGTACTAGTGGTGTCATAAACGTGTAGTACTAGTGATGTTGTAAACCTGTAGTACTATTGATATAATAAACCTGTCGAGGGCCTTGGATAGGTCGATGAAGGCCATGTACAGGTCACGACGCTGTTCTCTGTAATTTTTCTGTATCTGGCGGGCAACAAAGATTATGTCAGTTATGCCACGTGATGGTCTAAAGCCACATTGAGATTCTGGGAGGAAGTTTTCTGTCTCAGGAAGAAGTCTGTTTATGAGGACTTGGATGATAATCTTGCCAGCTATTGACAGCAGTGAGATCCCGCGTGTTGCCACAGTCTGACCGGTCTCCCTTGTTCATATAAATATTGAAGATGGAGGCATCTTAAGAGCTTGGGGGATTTACTCCTTTTCCCATATATTCTCCAGGAGAGAGTGGAGACGGCTGGTAGGCAGAGGTTCTCCTGCTATATACACCTCGGCTGGGATTCTATCAGGTTCTGAAGCTTTGTTATTTTTAATCTGTTTGATGGCAGTAGCTACCTCATCCAGGGATGGAGGACAACTGAGGTGGGTCAGCTCTGGATGATGAGGAGCCTGTTGGGTAGTCAGGACACCCACATCGGTGTTTCGGTTGAGCAGCAAATGATAGTGCTCTTTCCAGCGCTGATGGATGCCTTCTTTGTCTTTAATGAGGAAGTTACTGTCGGATGAGCAGAGGGGGGCTGCACCACGAGTGATTTGCCCATAAAAAGTTTTAGTGGAATTAAAAAATTCCTGCCTCATATGCTGATTTGCAAGTTTTTGCAAGTCTCATGCTTTATTTTTCAACCATACATTCCTTAGATTGCGAAGTTCATGCTGGGCTGCCGCTTTCTTCTTGCAGAAGGTATCAGCTCTGATCTGAGACTGAGGGCTGTTCTTCCAGTCAGTTAAAGCAGCAGTTTTATCATCAATGAGTACGTTGATTTCCGGGTAATTGTCATCAAACCAGTCCTGGTGTATTCTTTTATTCTGGCCGAGGGTCTCTGCAGGTTTTTGTCATGACAATGTTAAGAATACCCCATTCAGTACTGGGATTTTGGTTGTTTGTTGTTGGGTTGTATATCAGTCCATGTTCGAGCTGCTCTCTGAAAGCATGTACTGTACTACCACTGGATCCTCCAGACGCTTAGTGTTAAAACCTTTTCTGGAGGCTTGTTGCCTTCGCCATTTTGGGGCAACATGAAGTGACAGTTTGGCTGTGACGAGCCGATGATTGGTGTCACAGTGGTCTGAGCCACATATGGCTCGGGAGATGAGGATATCTCGACGATCTCTTTCTCTGACAATGATGTAGTCAATGAGATGCCAGTGTTTGGATTGTGGGTGTTGCCACAAACCATTGAACTTGTCGGCCTGCTTAAGCAGGGTATTGGTGAGAGTGAGGTTGTGTGCAGCACACTTGCTGAGGAGGAGTAGGCCATTGGGGCTACACTTGCCAAGTCCATTTCTCCCTATGATTCCCTGCCATATGTCAGCACCTCTGCATTGAAGTCACCAAGGAGCACAGCCTTATCTTCTCTGGGAATAGAGGTTAGCACTCTCAAGGTCGGCATAAAAGGCCTCCTTGATGTCATCCTCTCCTTCCAGTGTTGGGGCGTATGCACTGATGAAGAAGGCATGATGTGAGTGATAGAGTGGGACTCGGAGCTTCATGAGGCGCGCGTTGATCCCAACAGGCATTTCAGTTTGCTTATGTAGGATGCATTGACAGATGGCAAAGCCAACTCCATAAATGCGGTTTCTCTCCGCAGCAGGCTTACCCTTACAGAAGAAGGTATAGCCAGACTCCTGTTCTGCGGGTCGACCTTCGTCTGGGAGCCGGGAGTCACTAATGGCTGTTATGTTGACGTTATACCTAGCCAATACTTTTTTCCACAAGGGCGGTTCTTCTTTCAGGACACTCATTTTTGCCAGTATCCAGAAGGGTCCTGACATTCCATGCAGCGACCATAAGAGGTTGTATACAGGTATAGCTTGGTTTTGTTTGGATCTGTGATTATGATTGTTTTCAACTACATAAGGATGACCTTACTGGCTGTGGTTGCCCAGTCAGATTGGTTCTTTAGGCAGGCTATGTTTAGGACACATTTTCTAGCCCCCTCCCCATGTGAGGTAAGCAGAATGGCTCCTCGAAAAGGCTGCTCAGTCGCACAGACAGGACCGGATTGCACTGCTGCCTAGATCCCAGTGCATAAACGATCATTTTATCTGTGCTGCCCATGTGTAGAGTTGTGACTAGAGACTCCCAGCAGTCATCTCTGCCTGTTACCATAGCCACTCTTCCGTCACCATAAGACTTTTGGGGGCATAGGGGTTTTGATGTTGATGATAAGTACGATGAGCTGGATGATGGCTGCGTGTGAGTTGATTTATGTGGTGAGGCAGAAGCGCAGGCTGCAACCACACATTTCGACCCTCCTTTTTCCTGAAATAGTAGTGCAAGTGATGCAACAACTGGGGAGAGGGAGAGTTGCAATGGCCTACCGATAGCCCAGTTTGTTAGGTTTCACCTTAGCCTGTCCATCTTGCATTGCCTTCATCCACCGGTGTAGTCGTTGGGTTCCCAAGATGGTCACCTCTTCCGCCTATACTGCCGTTGAGGTGTTACTGGAGCTCTGTAAGCGTGTCTGTCTGTTGCGGGGCTCCACCGCACATTTTTCGTAAGGGGTTTACTCCTGTAGTGTTGTACTTGCTAAGGTTAATCCGCAAGGTAGCGGGGCAGTGGTTGGTAGGCACCAGGATGTGTCCACAGTGCCAGTGGACCTATGCGCTGTCCCTCTGGGGCCCACTGTTGCTCCGAGATTCCCTGCTGGTCTAGCCTGACCCACGAGGCACCCAATTACCGTGTGTTGCCACGAGGAGGCACAGCAGGTGTCTTGATAGTGAAGAGGCTGTGTACTGGCAGGGGAGGACTTATGTAAGTTGTTTCTTTGTTTGCCACGAAGGCTAGCCAGCAGCGGTAGCTGAAAGCGAGAGGAAGCAAGCAGTGCTTGCACCATAACACTACATAATGCTGCCATACTAGATGCATTACACCATCCTGCATACACTCACACACACACGCATGTTTTCTTATTACTCTTCTTCAACAAAACCATGCCTTAACAAAACTTGCATAGGAGACCAAGTGAGAATTGTTATGGATAGAAGTTTGACCACCTTTGATATTTTACCATTTCAGGTTAAAGGAAGTAATTCTGGACTATGCGGAGCCTCGAAACACTGGCCAGGTGCGAGCTTTTGCTGTAGAGATGTGCGAATGTCCCGTAGGCTATCAAGGTCTTTCCTGTGAAGATTGTGCCATTGGTTACACACGAAGTTTATCTGGTCTTCACTTAGGTACATGTGAACGTTGCAACTGTAATGGACATTCAGAAGAATGTGACCCAGAAACTGGAGTTTGTTCGGTAAGTTCCCTAATAATCTACAAATTTACCTGTTTAATTTACAGTACAATAAAGGCTTTTTTACCTATCCTGACATTATGTCATCCAACAAAGTTTAGAAACAGTCCCTGTGTGACAAGTGTAAGAGGGTGTCTTTTTCTCTTAAAGATGAAATAGAAATGTACATCTACCTTGAGAACATTAAAAACAGTAGTGTTTTGATGTTAGAGTACAATGACATTTTATTTATTAATGGATTGTACTGTACAGTATTAGTTTTAATTGTATGTTAAGTGTAAATTTAAGGTATGGTATGCAGTAAAATGATTCCCCATACAGTATTAAATCAAATATAATTGTACAATTGTAGAGCATAAAGCTTCGAGAAATGAGAATTGCCACCACATCTTTATTGGTGAGTACTGTGACTTTATAATTGTATTCCATTCATAAGAATAACTTTAATTAATCGGCACCTCCCACTTCCCACCCATGCCGGATAACAAAGCTTTTACTGTACCGTATTTAAACAGTTGTTGAATCTTGAAATTTCATACTATGATTAATGATGAAGTGAATGACTCTGCTTTCCTCCCCACTTCTAGGCAAAGCACAAAGGTACCTAAAAGTGGGTCCTTATTTATTAATTTTCCACTTGTAGTTTATGTAGGGGAAATATGCATAGGGTTAGGTGGTAGCAAAAGAAACACAAGGTAAGAGAAACCATTTTAATCCTGACATTTTGTCTTGAAGGACTTTTTCAAAGTCCTCTCTTCCATTCTTTGGGACTCTTCCCTCTTTTTCATTGATTTTTTCTCTTTTCCATATCCTGTTCTTGAATCCTCCAGCAAATCCATTCGCTCATTGTGCTTTACCATTCTTAAATTTGTTTGCACTGTGACTAACCTCCTCCTCCTTTTGATGTTTCTTTTATCTTGAATCCCTTCTTTGGTCTGTCATAACTGTATCAGTCAATGCACTATCATGTACAGGTATGCCTCGCTATACATTATATTGGACACAAGTTTGCCATAGACTGATATAGGTGTTACATTCCTGTGGGACATTTCTGGTCCAAAATATTTCACCAAAGCATTACATACCGTAAATGCCTAAATTATATTATTGTGAGATAATATGAATACACTATATTTAAATTCAATGTATATGTCAATAATATAACACTTCCCTGAGATGATTGAGGAGTTTGTTTATAGAGGCCGACTGAGGTAGGGAGTGTTCGACTTATTGAGATGAAGTGGCAGGGTTACCTGCTTCTTCATCTAAGAATGGATGTAGAAAATATACATCCAGGTCTGTTGTACAATTATTTTAGTTGCAGTTAAAAGTGTTACACTTTGAAATGTTCCTTAATTTTGTTTCCTTCCTCAAATATTTTTCTTACCGACATAGCAGGAAGGTGTAGCATTCTGGTGATGTCAGCAGTTCATTCATCAACATTAAAACACCTTAAAACATCTAATTTAACCTCTAGAATATTTTGTTTTTTCCCTACCACTTAGCAAACAAATAAACTTAAGTGAACATGGTGGTGATGGGTAGACTGATACTGGGGAGGTGATGCAGCTGAGGGATTCAGCAATTTTTTCCCATGCCGGGGGAAGGAGGCCAGTGGCCGCTGTAGGCTCCCTCTATTTTTCCTGATGAGGGATTTTTTTCCGGCTTGTCCTGTTTGGCTAAAATCCTAAGGAAAGTTAATTGAAAATTAATTAACGTTAATAAGTTTATTTGGGGTAATTTCAATTAAGTTAATCCATCTTTTGAAAATTTAAGTAGTTGATTAATTTAATAGATCCAACCCTAATTGTAGGATTGTGTGTGCAAGTAACTGAGTAAAAGAAAAAGTGACAAAAGTAAATTTTTATCTATCCAAAACTATGAGTTAAAAATTATAATCCTAATTTAACTCCCCCCAACTCATCCTAATAACTCTCATTGGTGCAGGAAGAAATGCTTCGGTATTCCCTTCATGTTTTTTACCTCATTAAGGAAAAGCTAAATCAAAGTTTTAGGTCATGAGACCAACTGATACCCTACCTTAGAATGGGTGACCTGACAATGCATCAGGTCTAATATGAGACCACTAATTCTTACACACACTTACTGTCTCCTGAGAGACAGCTGTTGAGATACCCTCCTGTGCAACCACAGTGGCAGTTCCTGCTTATACAAACTTCCCTACCATGCTCTTTCAGTAAACCATTAATTATTATTATTAATTATTTACTAACTGGATTTTGGTTGTTTTTCTGGGTAGGGGAGACATGTGTATGGTGCTGGACCCCATTCCAGTTTGTGAAGGGATATGGATTAAGCAAGTCCGGATTAGAGGGAGTTTATTGTATGTCACGAGAGAACAGGCACATCTTTATTGAGTAATAGCTGCAGCACAGCTGTGTTGTTGTGATGTGGGCGAGACCATGTGGTCCTTGCCATGTCACTTGATAATAATAACAATGACCCACAAGATGCTTAAGATTCTTTTTCAAATTTTTAAATAATGTTTTCCAAGATTCGTGCGGTTACTCTGGTGGTTCGGTACTCAAGGTTTTTTTTTTTTTTACTGTACTCTTCTTTTTTTTTTTATCTTTTACTCCTCTCATTACTTTCCTTCTAATCTCTCTGCTCCTCCTTTTTTTTTTAACTACTTATCTGCAGCTGGTGCTCCTATGACTTCTTTTCTTCTTAATCATCACTCACAATTTCTCATCCCATCACTCCCACTAGTTGTTTTTCACATCTGTCATTTTGTGCCTACACACCACAGTACCACTTTCTTGTACTGTCCTGTCAAACCTGTCACTTTCCTCTTCAACTCCTCCCACTTTTCTCTCTTTGTGTAAGTCCAATTTATCTAAATTTATTTAAATAAGGACATGCTCAGGAAAATGCAACTTGTTCACTTGCAGCTCAATTCCTATTTATTATTCAACTTCATTCCTCAAATGTTCTTCTGGTTGGTTTGGAGTGGAGAAGGTGAATTGAGAAGGTGAATTTTTCCATTGACAATAAGGTTAAGAGTTTATAAAATGTATACGTATGTACATCACCAATTTTCGTCAAGGTATGGGGTGGTCCACGGGTACAGAATATAATGCACTCTCTCCTTCTCTAGCCCAGGTAGACTCACAAGTCAATCACCGCGCTTATCAGAGACCGCTATCGTATGAGTGAGTTCTCTTGACCAATCTGAACTCATAACAAGTCTTTCTTCAACTAATCATGATACTGCTTCCCCCATCTTCCTGCTCCACCCACGTGTTTGTCTTCTGCATCCTGTATTATTATTATGAAGACAATAACATCGCTGACATACCAGTAGAGGATAATTATTATCTAATATGTATTGTATTAATCTTTTTTTTTTATTATTATTGAAATACATGGGTATGGTTACATTTATTAGACATGAAGAAACTGCAGTTTTTGTTTGTAAAATTTTTAAATATCCATCTCATTTGAACCTCATAATATGGCTTTGTCCGTTTTCCAAAATTTATGAACATAATAATCTTGCATATCGTGTGATTTCACCATGTAAATTCATTTACATTTCTTTTTTACTAGCTACTGTATTATTATTGATATTATTTTTATTATTATTATTATAATTATTATCATCATCATCATCCTCATCATCATCATCATCATCATCATCATCTTCATCATAATTATTATTATTGTTGTTGTTGTTGTTTTTGTTGCTACATTAAAAAAATAAGCAAGGTATCATGGTTGGTTCAAAAGTTATGCAGTATTCTCAACTTTCTTAAAACAGTGGAAGGCTAGTTTTATTGTGCATACTCAAATCTCGTTGCTTTATTCTCTTTCCTTGATCCAAAAACATTCTTCACCTTTTTCTCACTTATCTGAATCTTGTACCCTCAGCTTTCCATTTGCTGTTATGCTTGTTTCTATCAATGGTCAGACACTGACTGAACAGCTCATCTTAGAAAACATATACTGTACATTCTTCCTCATATTCCATCTTATATCCACCAACTAATTGATGTAAATATAAATTATTTTTGTACTATTGATGTTAAATGTTTTTTCAGAACTGCAGAGATAACACTGCTGGAGATTTCTGTGATGAGTGTGCACCAGGGTTTAATGAAGACAGTAGTGGTCGATGTTACCACCAAGACGGTGAAGGAGACTGTAATTGTGACCAGCGAGGTGTTATTTCTTGTGATCGAGGCGTTTGTCGGTGTAAGGTATGTGGTAACCCTATTTCTGTATGTATTTTTTTAACATTATGTAATATTTTATTGGAATTAGTTTAGTGTGCATTAAAGGCATTAAAATTTTTATTGAATTCATATCAAGAGTATCAAGATGATAATACATTGTATATTAAAAGAATCCTTCTCCCAGAACTCCATATGATGTAGCTGTAACCACAAGAAATGACCTGACTCTAGGACTAGAAGTGATCTGAATCTGATTTTTTATTGCTATCTTATAAACAAAAAAAAATTAAAACACCTTTGCAGAATGAAATTAGTTTTGTCTAAAAACTGCATGTGATGTTCAATCTCTTCACTGCCATCTGTTTAATGCCAGCACTCAACACCATCCCAAACTTGACAGGACAGGCTTTGTCTCCTCTCCACATCCATGAAACCAAATTTTATACTTCTTTGTTTGAAACTATTTTTTTTCATATTGATGGCTCTTTTTTTTGGTGAGTTTTACACTGCATTACAATATGGTAATCTGATGCACATTTCCATACTTTATACGGTAATAGTTTAATAATAGTGGTGGGTTACTGCTTATGGATCTCTTTCTTTCTGTTTCTTCTCTCTTTTTTTTCCAATTTATCAAATAAACTCTGATTCTCTTACCTCTCATGTATTGAGAATTATTTTGAAGATTACTGTACAGTTGACAATTGCCATTTGCGATTCGCGATTTCAACAATTCGCGGTAAGCAGATGGTGGCTATGGTGGCTAGCTTGCAAGCCTTTTCCCGCAGCACGAGTCACCCCACGTAGCATCTCGTGTTGTACTCACAAAACTTTAGTGTTTCTGTGTGAAATGGCCCTTAAAAGACTGCCTAGTGTCAGTGCTAGTGATGCTTGTGGAGTGTAAAAGGCAGAAGATCAGTGATGACACTGACAAAGAAAGTTTTATTATTAGATAAGTTAAAAGAGGGGTTGAGTGCTGACACGGCTGGTTAGTAGTTTGGTATAGGTATACAGTTGTTCTCTAAGGTAGTATAAATTGCTATTCGCGGTTTTGCCAGTTTGCACCATTTCTTTGAACCTATCCCTCGCGAGTGGCAAGGGTCTACTCTATAGTATATGTAACATGTTAAGAGTAATACATTTGACATTCACCACAAAAATTTACAATACTGTATGGTAATGTTTGATAGCATAGTTTTGTTGCTAATTATCCCTATTTTTCATGATTTTAAGGTGAATGTTATTAATTTCACAGGCTAATGTACAAAGAGGTAACTGTGATGCCTGTCAACCTGGATTCTTCCATCTTTCAAGTGGAAACCCAGAGGGATGCCTACAGTGTTGGTGCAGTGGTGTCAGCGCTCAGTGTTTTTCATCTAATTTCTATCGCACCCAGTTGCCTATGCAGCTCCTAGTTGACCATGGGTTCACTTTCACAAATCGGTAAGTTATTGCCATTAACTAACACTGTATATTGTTGGGGATATAGGTTATAGTAACAATTAATGTTAACCCTTTTGCTGCATACAGTATTTGGATTTGGAATCCAGTTCTGTAACACTTAAATGATGAAGAATTATCTAAACAGACTAATTGCTTTAACAGGAAAGATGTTGGGTTTAAAAAAGGGGTAGAATTGTTAAAAATTTCTTATAAAAATGACATGTTTTGCTCATTGAATACAGTGGTGTAATCATATATCCTGTATGCTTAACAAGAGCCACAAAATTTGTTTTCGAAAATATATTACATATGTAACCAGGAGGGAAGTAAGGGGGATCAGTGCATTACTGCTCCCTCCAGCTTTGGACCTGTTTTTAACATGGTATATGATTCATCATAAATAACATAACATCTTCAATAATAGAAATAATACAATGAGCTCATATTTGGTGCTGTTATAAAACTCTCCAGAAGGGTATTACAACTCTTCTCCAAAATATTAGCTCAGACAATTTTCTCTACTTGTGGCTTCTTTAACCCCATCCCTGAAAAATTCCTAACCCTGCCCCAGGTAACTTTACTTTCCTCTTTTACAGACTGCGGACAAACACGATCAGAGATGGATTTGACATCAATGTAGCTAATAATGAGATATCTTTTGCTGATTTTGCCAACCTCAATGAAAGAGAATCATACTACTGGTCCTTGCCACAGGTAAGAGAGGTCTTGAATAATAACTGATTAAACATTGGTATACTCTGTGAAAACTTCTGTTATGCATAGATTATAAGTGAAAGATATATAGTATAACTTTATAATAAATATTGAAATTCTCTCAGATGTTCACAGGAAACCGCCTCCCATCTTATGGTGGTAATTTAACCATAACTCAACGATACCAAGAACATCCAGGTGGTAATACATACTCTTATCCAGATATTATTATCAAAAGTTCAGGTGACCGGGAATTTATTTGGATGAGTCCACGAACTCTTCCACAGAACATCGAATACACTTATGTTGTTCATCTCACTGAAGACAGCTTTACCATGAATCAGCGGCCTGCTTCAAGGTATGAAATTAACCATTTAATATACTTTTCGTGAATGAAATAGATTTTTTTGTTTATCACATCCATATTCCATATTGGATAAAACTGACATGAGAAAGATGCATCACTCAAACTGTTATTTTTGTGTTATGATATTATGTTGGTAATTGTGATATACAGTCGACCCTCGTTAATTCGGACCCCTTTAATCCGGATTTCGGATAATTCGGACAAAATCTGAACAAATTTTTTTTTTTTTTTTAAGATTTGTAGGAATATTACCTATGCGGACCTTAAGCTAAAATGCTGGTCCACCCACTGCTGGGATAAAACACCAGCGTCTTTTTGGTCAAATGTAACATCACCACTAGTGTGGGGGGGGATGCAACTTTTAGCTTCAGACATGAAAAATATTTACCATTTACTGCCAGTAAACAATGGAAACGTAAAATTTGTACCAATTAGTAATGAAAAGTTATGCAGTTCCTTCAGCAAATGAAGCTCACCAACTTACAATAGTCTAAATTACCTTACAACGTGTTTTCAGTAGTCTATGTTGAAGTTCTTAGCACAGGCTAACTTATCATATCATATATGGTATCACAGTTCTCATTGATCTACAAAAATACCGGTAATAAAAACCTTTTTGATATTTCACACTTAATATAATACCCGGTAATCTACTTCAACCTCCTATTGTTTACAACGACACATGACGCACCACCAGCTGTTGAGTATCAGCTACACAGTACACTTGTTTTTCGAATCGTTTTCAGTTAAAAAACTGTTACATCACATGTATATTTTACCTTAACTGTGCCTGAATGAATATATTCTCGGAAATAAATAGTAGTTTTGTTGAAACGTGATGTATTTTAATGTAAAATAGGATAAAATACATGACGAAAACAAAAGACTTTACCTAACCTTCCGATGTTCTACAGAAGTTACTCGTTTTTTTAATAGTTTTGGGTTAAAATACTGTTATATTACAATGGTATTCTATTCATACTGTGCTTGATATAATGCATTCACGGAAATGTAATATTTTTGCTGAAATGACGTAGGTATTAGTGGAAAGTGGGATAAAATCGTGACGAAAACAATGACTCGCTTTCTTTCATTCAAAAGATGTTACCGTAATCGCTTTTTGATTGGTTTTCAGTTAAAAAACTGTTGTATTACATTAATATCCTATCCTAATTGACTTGAATAAATACTACGATACCATATTTCTGAATATTTTCATTAAAATTCATCGTCTGCAGCACCAAACAGCTTCTCCCGGTCCTCTCCTTGAACAGGGCTAGAGGGTACGTGTTTTTAGAATCATTTTCAGTTAAAAAACTGTTACATCACACGTATATTTTACCTAAACTGCGCCTGAATGAATATATTCTTGGAAATAAATAGTAGTTTTGCTGAAACGTGATGTATTTCAATGTAAAATAGGATAAAATACATGACGAAAACAAAAGACTACCTAAGCTTCCGATGTTCTTGAGATGTTATTCGTTTTTTTAGTAGTTTTCGGTTAAAATACTGTTATATTACAATGGTATTCTATTCATACTGTGCTTGATATAATACATTCACGGAAATGTAATAATTTTGCTGAAATTACGTACATATTACAGTGGAAAGTGGGAAAAAATCGTGACGAAAACAATGACTTTGAAATATAATGCAATATTAACCCCTAAATCGGTTAATTCGGACAATCGGCTAAAACGGACACCCTTCCCCCCCTATTAGTCCGAATTAACGAGGGTTGTTTGTATATATATATATATATATACATATATATATATATATATATATATATATATATATATATATATATATATATATATATATATATATATATATATATATATATATATATATATATATATATATATATATATATATATATATACACAGGGGCTGTTTATATATTTTTTTCTCTCTCTTTAACTGAATTTATCCACTTAGGTCACAGTTCCTGAATGCTCTATCATCTGTGGATGCCATCCTCATTCGTGCTTCAATAAGTGACAGAATGCATGCCACTTTCTTACGGGATGTGATCATGGATACTGCTGTACCATCCCAGACTGGACAGCCTCGGGCATTAGAAGTAGAGCAGTGTCAGTGCCCCAAGGAGTATAGTGGATTATCATGTCAGGTAAATAATCCTGTACTCAAAGACATTTCTTTTAATTTTTCTACAAAACAATAAAATTTTATTTTATATTTTAAGAAAATTATGAAACTACAGGTGTCCCCCACTTTACGGAAACTTAAGTTGCAGCGAATTTGTAAATTATGACCACTAAATTCGGGATACGTCTCGTAAATTTGACTTTGCGGAAATGGGGTAAATTTAAAAAGTTTCAACACAACAATCACGATATACTGGAGACCACAATGTCTCTATGGTAAAATGTCAGATTCTGCATAGTTTCCATGTTACAATACATTTAAGATGTTGTATTAATGAGAGTGAATTTGAAGTGAAACCCCCATAGGTTTTTGTAATCGTTTATTCACCGATTTCTACAGTGTCCCTGACTCATTGCACTTGTGTCAGCCATCTGTATCATGCTGCCCTGCTGTAAGACACCTGTGAATAAATTATTTCAAAAAGTTACGGGGATTTCACTTCAAATTCACTCTCATTAATACAACATCTTAATGTATTGTAACATGGAAACTATGCAGAATCTGACATTTTACCATAGAGACATTGTGGTTTACAATTATCCAAGGATTTCATCCTCCAATTTAATATACTGTTTGCTGAATCACCCTGTATAGTATGCTGCAAATACAAGTGCCCGGTATTTGTACAGCAAATCCTTTTGCAAAGACAAAAATTATGGTCTTACTATCTCTGTGAGATGCACTTGCAATTTTTCAATGGAAATAGATATTTTTCCTGCTATGCATTGCATTTTACTCTGAAAATAATTACTCTAATTTTATTGAGTTCTTTTATAATAATTTGAATGTGTTTAACAGCAATGTAAGCCTGGCCACTACAGAGACTCTGCAACAAATCGGTGTGTTCAGTGCCCATGTCATGGCCATGAAGAATCCTGTGCCCAGCTTGCAGATGGTAGAATTAGGTGTGACTGCTTGCCAGGATATTATGGCCCCGACTGTAATGGATCAGGTATGAATATATTCTACTAGTTACTGCTGTACTGTCTACTGTATTCTTATGCTGTTAGTATGGTATAGCTCCTCAGAAATTTCTCCAGGATCAGACTTGTAAGATGCATGACTAACTGAGGGTAATGCAATTAGAAATTTTCTAAGATTAACCTGCTAGAGATATGCTTTTTAGAAGGTCAGGTGACCCGTACATTAGAATACTGCATGGAAGAGGAACAGCACTATCATTATATAGTAATTGGGTTAATATTACTCTTATTACATATTTATTATACCTGTACTGTAATTTTCTTATAATTTTATGATTTCACATTCTTTTGAATAATTGCCTGCAGGCTTTCAGCAAATGATTGATAGAGATCCAGCATACTAAATGCTATGTGGTAAAATGCATAATACCACAGGGCTTAGTAGATCAGTGGCAAAATACAATTATTTGTTCAAGTGAATAATACAAATACTACCATAGCAGGTGCCCTGCTTGGGACATATGGATCCTTTCATGATGTCAAACAATATGTTGGTTGTATTTATGGCCCAAGATTGTATTCAGTAAGGAGTTAGTAGTTCAATAATCTCTACATCATAAAGACCTTCAAACCACAAACATGGGTTCTAACACCCAATCTCTTACTCTTTCACTGAGTTCAAGCTGGTCACATGTATAGTTATTATCTGGCCTTAAGGCACAACCTGGGGAGACTTTTATTAACCTAATTTTTTTTTTTCCTAGAAGAGGTGATGTGTCCTTCACTTTATCGTAATATAGTTACTATTTGAACATATATTTTCCACAGTGTCTATTGCAGTATAATGCAGTGCTCCCTTGCTTTAAACAAGGGATGCGTTTCTAAAAAACAGCGGTCAATATGAACCTCATTTAACATGGCACAAAGGGGAATATGTTCCCGACCCTGATACCAAATTATTTTCACACTGACATAGCACACACAAATAAAATATAAACATACATTAATATGATTAAATCAAATATACAGTACAGACAGTCCCCAAGTTACGACCGTCCGACGTACGAGCATCCGCACTTATGAACGGGATCCCAATACATTCATTGCAAATTTTTTTTTATTAAAATTTATTTATTTATTTTCATTATTCTATATTGTTTAACATCACTTTATTTACATTATTTGTTATGAATGTGATATTACTGGGTTTTTTTTTTTTTATTGGCTGGGTTGTGTTTTAACCTAACCTAACCTTTGGAATTAATACTGTTTGGACTTATGAACAAATCGACTTATGATCAGGGTCCACGAACGTAACCCTGTTGTAAGTCGGGGAATACCTTTATAAATGAGCACTGTACCCGCCAATAAAGGCTGGTTTTATACACACTGGAGGATGATGGTGATGTGGAATGAGGTGCTGTATTACTGCCTATGCGGCGGTATCATCAAGGTCATCAGCTGTCAGTAGCAGTGTCATATCAAGTGGAGAGGAGAGCAGCACGGCGGGCTACCAGGTCCACTAGCCACTGCGCTTGTACTAGTGTGGTCGGGAGTAGGCATTTGGGCATCTGCTAGCAGAAGAGGATGTACTGGAGACACTTGATGGGGAAGTGATCTTATAATATTGTGCTAAGGTGGTCTGTGTCTCCTTGTCGGTAGCCAAGGTAGATGTTAATTCCCTCCCAAATTTTAAACTTTGCTCCAGGTTTGGGTCCATATCTACTGCTGCCTGGGCCTGCTAATTAGCAAGTGTGAAAAAAACAGCCAGTTTCTTGGTGGTCATCTGACGTAGTTCCACAGCAATTTTTTCCTCTTCTGCTTTGTCACTTCCATTAAATCCTCAACAGCTATGTCTTCTCAATGGGTTTTGAGAAGCTCCACCATGTCTTCCTCCTCTAAATCACAAATCCAACATTTAAGTCTAGGTTGACAAATCCTGCCGCTTCTGATGATGGGTTCACAATCCTCGAGTAATCATAAACCCATTTCTTCCACAGAACCCTCCACACTTCCTTCAAAGTGTTCTGCTTTACTTCATCTCACTTTTTTATGTTATTTACTGCATGGAGGATGTTATACTATTGCCAGAAATCATGAACTGTTGGTGTGTCAACTCCATCAGTAGCAGCCAGTGGCTAGGAGAGTGATCCCCACAGATACCCAGTAATACATTTTAAATGTGGCTATCACCCTTATCCATGAGCGAGATTAATAAGGTGATATTTGGCAGCAAAAACAACACTTTAACATTGGATGGAGATCATTCAGGTGCACAGGGTGTCCTGGGGCATTATCAAGGATGAGTAACACCTTGAAAGCAATGTTAATATTTTTACAGTATCGCACACCACATGAACACAAAAACAGTTCATAAACCAGTCCTCAAACAAGCTTGTGGTTATCCAAGCTTTCTTGTTGGCTTTTGTAATGAACTCATAAGGTAAACTTACTAAGTTCTTTTAAGGTTCGAGGATTCTGTGAATAGTAAATTGGCAATGGTTTACATTTGTAGTCACCTTCTGTGTTCCTACACAGAAGAAGCATCGGCCTATCCTTTGCTGCCTTGAACTCTGAAGAAATTTTTTCTTTCTTGAAATTTGTTTTGTTTGGCATATGCTTTCAAAGCAAACTTGTTTCATTGGCATTGAACACTTGCTGAAGTTTTTTTCCTTTGCTTCCACAATAACCTTAAATTCGTGTGGGAACCTCAATGCAGAATCACTGATGGCACTAGTAGCCTCACCTGTGAGTTTGATGTTGTGTAGATTCTGATGCTTCGTGAACTTATCAAACCAGCCTTTGCTTGGTAGGAAAGACTCAGAAGTAGATGATGCACCCTTCTTCCTGTTGGAGTCATTCGTACAACCTCAGCGCCTTAGCACAAATAATCGTAGAGTTGACAGGTATCCTTGGGTTTTGGTCTTCTACCATATTGCATTTTTTGTCTGAAAAATGGCTCCAAAAATTTGTCTGCGTCCTATACAGTATAAGAAGTTGCAGTCTCCCGTAGTCTAATGAATCCCCCAGTTACTGTCTCCAGTAGGCTAAATTCTACCTAACCCAATTTCAGAATTATAAATGTGATATTGTTTACCTAAACAATTTTTTTTATTTTTAATCAATTAAAAAAATATTTAATGTAAATACAAAAGCTGGATTTATAACTACTCAACTGATGATGATAACCTGAGACGATTAATGTCCATACGGCAAACACCCAACTCTTCAGAGGTAGCTAAGCAGTAACCATTTATGAACTCTTACAAGCATTACTACACGTTATCACTAATGCCATACATGTAACATATATTTTTAAATCTACAAATATCTGATACATATGAAGATTTACAGATAACTTTCTTTTCACATTTGTGTATATTAACATCGTGGGTGGCATTGTGGCCAAGTTTGACTCGTCGCTGTAACCACCAGGCTACTGGGACAAGCTGTGAGGTGTTGTGGTGGTTTTTCAACTTGTATTTTTGGATAGATATGCGTAACTTTCTTTATTAATTTTACTCATATTCATGCATACACCATCCTACATACATATTGTGAAAAAATAAATAAAAGAAATAATTGTCTTAAGGGCAAACACATACAGGGAATGTTGTATATATTTCTTAACGCACAAGTTAGCTGGCTCACTGGAGGGTGAAGAGGGGTTGAGGGTGCTAAGAAGTTGGTGGAGGTAGCGTCCCTGCTGGTCTGCATTGCTATGGCGAAGCAGGGAGTGTATGCAAATGACGATTGTGTTAAACTTACATTTGGCTTTCATTTACTGGTTTGGCGATACAGTATTTTTTTTGTAACTTATTTATTGCTATTATTTTTATTTATACCACACATTTACTGATACTGTATACCTGTATTGTATATTATTTTAAGAAAACTATGGCTACAGGAGGAAAATACACACAAAAGTTTTTTCTAAAGACTCCTCGTGGAAATGGGGGGGTGTGTCTTATATGACCGTGCATTTTACGTATATAACATATAATGCGGTAGGAATGAATCAGTTAAAAAAATGTCAAACAATGTGATCATACACAACAGTGTTCAGTAAGCAAGTGTTGTCGTTTTTATAAGATTTATTTATTTTTTTAGTTTTTTAATTTTACCCATTTCTTAAAACCCTCAAGTATCCCTGATAAAGACAATACAGGCTTCCTCATTATCCGCAATTAATTGGAACCGGAAAAATGCCTCTGATAACGAATTCACTTAAAGCGGGGAATTAATCCCATAAGAAATAATGGAAATAGGTCAAATTGGGACCGTGACATTGTACACAACACTCAAAACAAAAATTCTTTGATATCTTTTAACAATTATTTACTTTAGAAACATTTGTTAGACATTTGATAACACATTATTTTAAGAAATTATTTAACTTTATAAGTTATTTAACGTCCTTAAAGTTCATTGGGGTCGGTATGTTGAGGCAACGTGGGTTGTGCCAGTTGGTACACATTCACACTAGTGGTTCATTGAGACAAAATACTTATTATAATGAAGGTAGATATGTTTGGCTTGATTGGATTGATGGAGCTGGGTGTTGTGGGATGGAGGATTAGTCGGAGGATGAAAAAGAAACAGGACTCGGTGGATTGTCCATTCCCACTCTTCTTTTGCATGATCACTTCTAATTTTATATCTATACTATAGCTAGTGTGCTATCTTTTGAGTGCTGTACCGCCCTGTTTTGGTTGAGAATTCATGGCTACAAAAATGATAAAATAATTCACCACAACATGCATGAAAAGACACAACAAAGGCATGAGTAAACACAACACAGCACTGGTCTAGATGAAACAAAGCGGGAGACTGGCGCTAGGACATGTGTGTGCTTGTATGACGCTGTGAAAATGATGAAATTTCAAACTCTTTTGCTAAAAATCTGTAGATTTTTTCGGAAGTTTTCAGTTTTTGGATGGTCACAAAAAGTTGACCACATACTGCAAAACTGCAGATAACGAGGACCTCATGTTACTCACTTATACTTGTTTACAGTACTTTATTTTAT